TTGATTGTTTTTACTCCTTCATCGTTGTACTCAACCCCAAATCCGAAATAATTCCAAACTAATGATTTAAAAGAGCCTGGTGCCTCTTCAAACTCTTCCCTTTCAACTCCACTGCAGCTCGCCATTTCCTCATGTCTCTTCCTGTGTAGCCAGCCACCTAACTGTAGTAAGAGTTTGAGTGAGGACGCGGATGCACAACAGTGATTGGACATTTACTTGGGGGTGGGCCTTCATCTACCTGGACAGGCACATGGTGCCATGTAAAGCTTGAAATAAAAGAGCAGCGCAAAATCAATGGGAGCACCGAAGTCCCGCGGTACAGGAGGGCGGATTGTCTCGTGCAGGGCGTACCGAACGGTCCGGTATTTTACCGCATACCGTTGCATCCCTACTACTAACCACCCATTCATCTTCACCAGCTCCACTCTAAGTGTTAAAGCTGAGGCCTGAACAGTGAGTCGAGTAATAGGGTGAGTGAGGTCAACACATCTCCATTAAAATTCCAGGGAAATAAGTTAATTTATGCCATGAATATTGATGGTTATATCCATTTCTGTCGAATGTATCATAAGTAATGAGTGAGCCAATTAAACAGTGGCTTTTCTGATGTTATTAATTCAATTAGAAGAAATGTGGTGAGCTCTTAATATTGAACCGTGATAGTGACAGTATTCACTGGAGCATTTTATGTTTGAGTATCTGTTGGACACAGTTCTATCGATTGGCTTTTCCCTTTGAGCACCAAGTCAAATCTTTTTATTGTTAATGTGTCCCTTTGAGTTCTCAGTCAAACTTGGTATTTTTGGGCTTTCTCATTTAGTTATTTTATCTTTTCATTCTTCCCGAGTCTTTTCTTCTGTTTTTTAAACATGTTCTTACATTAGCTCTTTTTATATATTTTTCACCATGTTTTTGAGTCACTGTCTGCTGCTGTACTGTGATAGTGTACAGCACCTTGGACTTCTGCAAAGGTAGTGGAAGATGCTACAGAAATAGATTATGATTATAAATTAGATTTCCTATCTGTGTGGCCATGTCTAAAATTGTCCTAAATCTTTCAAGTTCTCGAACCACCCACTGCTCAAAGACGCATTGAAATGACATAATTTCGAGCTCAGATTTGCGCATCCAATTTTGGTCTCCTGCAGGTACAAACTTTGACACCAAAGGAGTTTTTTTTTCAACTTCTTCCGGATGTCCTGGATTACCACCTCCGGGATCTACAGAAATGGGTTAATTCAAATATTTTGCACAGTGAGCAACGCTTGTACCCTGGTGCCACTCCCCAGTTCCCTGCCCTGGTGCCATTCTCCTGGTGCCCTCATGCCCTGCCCCACACCTCCTCCTTACCCCGGCGCTCTTGTGCTTGCCCTGGTCTCCCACCCAGGTGAACTTGTGCCCCGCCCCAGTGTCCTGCCACCCTTCCCCTACCTACCCTGGTGCATTTAGGCTTTGTCCCTGTGCCCTCGTGGGTAGCTAGAGCCTTTGCCTGTCCTGCACCTAAACTCTGGAACGCCTTTCCACCTGACATCCTGTACCGCTGTACACTAAAACTCACCTGTTTAAGGCAGCTTATTCACTGTCGTTGCACAGGTCTTACACTCCTCTTTTTTCATAATCTATTGATTTACTGTGTTTTAATGTAAAGTGACCTTGGGTGTCCTGAAAGGCCCTTTTAAATAAAATTAAATGTATCATTATTATGATTATTACTGTGCTCTGTCCTGGGGCCCCTATGCTCTACCCCAGCTCCCTGGCTCCTTACAGTTGTGCCCTGCCCCAGTGCTCTTCCATGTGCTTCGCCACATGCCCTGCCACCCTGCCCCACACCCCCTACCCCTGCCCCCTGGGCCCTCTCCTTGTGCCCTTCCCCAGTGCCCTTATACCCCACCCCGGTGACGTGCGCTGGAGCCCTTCTGCTCTGCCCCAGTACCCTTGATGTCTGCTCTGGTGCTCTTGCGCCCTGTCATGATGCTCTTGTGCTCCACCCTGGTGCCCTTGTTCCCTGCCTTTGGGCCTTGTGGCCCTTCAAACATTCTATCAATAACATTTCATCAGTTTCCAAATTTCCATTTCTATAAATAACGTGATTTCCAAACATCCGTATGAATAGATCATTTTAAGAATTTTTTTTCTATCAAACAGTTATCAAGTGCATCAATTTCTTTTCAAATGACCTCCAGGAACTGCTGTAAATGTCCCCCAGATTATTTGTTTGTGTGTTAGTCTATAATTTAATATATCAAGCAATTTAAAACGTATAAAATAAAACATACCTGAGAAACGAGGCTAAAGCAGGGGTGTGTCCAAGGAGTGGCCTGGGGTAGCACATGCCACCCTTGGAATCTGATTGGCCACCCCCTGGTGCCACCACACTAATTTACTTTTAAGTAGGGTTTTCATTGTCCACAAAAGGCTTGGGGTAAAAGAAAAAAAAGAATAACCATTGGTGCCACCCATGCACAAAGCTGTGCCTCACCTGGGCCACCCCATTTTAAAAGATCTGGACACGCCACTGAGCTAATGAAGAGGATGGGTGTGTCTGAACAGGAAGTTTCTAGGACCAGATGAGTTACTGGTACTGGCTCTACTGGAGAAGGTAGATTCATGAATCCTTTCTCTGCTGATTATGCTACATAAATTAGCGGTCCGTGGCTTTGTGTGCACAAGCTTCTTCTCAATCCATAAGCTGAAAGCAGAGAGCAACATTACCTGTTAAAGAGAAGATTAACAGATTAAAGAACGTAAGGAGATCTTGTTGGGATGAAGTTGGACATGTGATTTCAAAGTGAACGACTCAACCTGCCCACTCTCTCTTTTTGTGTGTGGGATGCCTCCCTGTCCTGCTGTGTTCCAAACGTTTCCTCTGAGCTTTGAGAGAGCCACCGGTTTGACGTGTATCACGTCTCTAATTGTCCCTGTGAGCCTTTTAGCTTAATGAGGTGTTTACCCCCCATCATTATTCAGCTGGGAGCAATGCAAAGGAGAAGAGGGACAGGACGAGGCAGAGATGGAAAGATGTAAGATAAAACCAACACAGGTGTGGCCGATAACAGGAAAACGGGAAGAAAAAAATAGTAAAACAAAGAGCGATTGTGTGCTAGCAGAAAAACAGCAGACTTAGAAGAAAAGCATGGGACAGACGAACGAAGGCGAGGAAGGAAGGAAAAGATTCTGGTGTTATTTACGCCTCCCTCGGCACTCGTTTTTACCTTTTTTCCCCCTGCGAGCTGTTTTACATCGGCGATCTAATTAAATCAAATAAATCACAGGGTGCACACTGGTACACAAGCGCACACACACAGCTGCAACAGCCCCTCCTGATTCTCGGATTGTGAACATCTCCTTTCCCTGCTGCCCTCCGCCCAAGTCGGAATAAATCTCGATTATGGTCTATTACACGGCACATCATTCATGTTGTTTATAGGACTAAAATATGCAAACAGACTCGGGGCATAAAAGTGATCGATGCTGAAATGGGTTTTTTCTCCCCTTGGCTTTCCATCTCATACACAGCACAGAGGACTGTCACAGACATTTCTCGTGTAGGCGGAAGACATATGGTCAAAAATAAGTGCATCTTTTCTTCTCTTTTCAATTTTACTTCCAAGAACATGATAAAAACCATGTAATCTCAAAATGACATCATTTACCACCACTGTATCAATGTCTATTTAACACAAACTCAGCCAGTCTGCAGAACTAGTGCGTGGGGGAAAAAACTGTGCACACTTGATGTTTTTGTTGTAATAAAAACTGGTAAGTAGGTGCAAGGTGCTCCTAATCATCAGCAAGTGTGATCACTTGTACAAAAGCTGCTACACATCTCCAATTTGAAGCATTACAGTGAGTGTTCACACCAGGCTCAGGAGGAGATCATTTTCAATAGGCAAGTATTGTGAAGGAATATTTTCAATTATCAATATGATTGCATATAATCAATGTGATCAATCATTAGATCTATGTTTGAGTCAACTTTGTTTCACTGGGATGAGGTCCTGCCTCAAGTGGAGGAGTTGAAGTATCTCAGAGTCTTGTTCACGAGTAAGGGAAAGATGGAGCATGAGATCGATAGGTGGATTGATGGTGCGTCTGCAGTGATGGGGGCGTTGTACCGGTCTGTCGTGATGAAGAGTGAGCTGTGCCGGAAGGCGAAGCTCTCGATTTATCGGTCAATCTACGTTCCAACCCTCACCTGTGGTCACGAGCTTTGGTGACCGAAAGAACGAGATTGCAGCCAAAATGAGTTTTCTCAGCAGGGTGTCTGGGCTTTCATTAGAGATGGAGTGAGAAGCTCGGTCATTCGGGAGGGTCTCGGAGTAGAGTCGCTGCTCCTCCACATCGAGAGGAGCCAGTTGAGGTGGCTTGGGCATCTGGTTAGAATAGCTCCTGGACAGGTCCCAGGTGAGGTTTTTCTGGCACATCTACCAGGAGGAGACCCAAAGGAAGACCCAGGACACGCTGGAGGGACTATGTTTGATTCTCCCAGAGGAGCTGGTCTGAGTGGCTGAGGAGAGGGAAGACTGGGCCTTCCTGCTTAGGCTGCTGCCCCTGCGGCCCAACTCCGGATAAGCTGACGACAATGGGTGGATGGACAATCACTGTGATCAATCATTAGAGCTATTTGAATCAACTTTGTTTCTTTGGTAATGGATTTAATTGCAAATTAATTTAGAAAATGTAACACGGCCTTTCATCTCAACTCACAGCTATTTCAAAACTGGAGTCCCCAATCCAATATGAGCCGGGTTTCACAGCCATCCCTTCACATTTATACAAACAGCTCAGACCAGCTGTCAAGCATTGTGTTGGAGGGGTGATGATTTGGGTTCTCTTTCTTAACATTCGTTTCGATGTCTCACTATGGGATACGCCCCTCCGCGGATTCCTCAGAAGCACTTATCTCAATACGCCAATCCTGATTGGCCAGTGACCGTGACGTACGCGTCCCCCTGCTACTATAAGTAGCAAGCGTCCCAACGTACACACTATTCAATCACCTCTTCTCGCTTCGGTGGTCGCTTATCTCTGAGGTAAGTTAGCTCAACTGTTCACAGACGGAGCCTTCTAATATTCTCTCCGTCGCCGAACGTTGACTTACCGTCCTTCTGTCCTGACCTTCACCATAGGCTCGGGGCATAACGAGCAGCTTCACACTCCAGTGCATCTGTTCGTTCTATGCTAACACACCAGTTAGCCAACATGGAAGCCGCTCCTCCCACCAGAGGAGTCGACGGTGCAGGAGCTCGCCTCTGTACCTGTGGGAACAAAATCTCAAGCAAAGACCCGCACAGGGTCTGCTCGAGCTGCCTCGGGCTGGAACACGCCCAGCTGGCATTGGAAGTCCCCGGGTCATGTGAGAGCTGCGCTTGCTTCACCCTGAAGAGCCTTCGCCGGCGGCTAGCGCGCCAAGCTAGCCTGTCGGGGAGGGACCCTTGCCTGCCGGCCCCTGGGCCACCGCCTGGGGACGCCAGCGAACATGTCCTCCCGGAGCCGGAACCGTGTGCCGAACTCAGCTGGGGCTCACAGCTCGAACTGGCCGGTCCGAGCCACCCCGCCGAGGACGTGTTGGAGTTGGACTACGGAGACGACGAGGACACCTCGGAACTCCTCATTTCAGAGGAGGACAACGTCTTTCTCCCCATCGCTCAGGCCTCCATGCCTAGCTTTCCGTCCTCTCCCAGGGATGGAGCGGTTTCTCCGGCCGCCCACCTGGACATGCAGTCAGTCTGCCGACGCGCTGCGACCAGGCTCAACATCCCTTGGCCCACCGTGGTCACTGAGGCTGTCAGATCCCGCTACGAGGGAAAGAAGCTGCCTCAGGCCACGAGGGCGGCATTGCCCCTCCTCCCCGCCTTCCCGGAGCTACTCCAAGAAGTGGGGTCCTCCTGGGACAAACACCCGTTCAGCTCCAGGTCTCCTGTCCAAGGAGCCTCCTCGCTGGACTTAGAAGGGATGGAGACGGCTGGCATGCTTCGCATGCCGCCGATGGAACCGCTGGTTGCAGCCCACCTGCACCCACGGCTCTCGGCGACTTCCTCCAGGCCTCCCGCTCTCCCTGCGAAGGCGGACCGCTTCCAGTCGGCGCTGAACGAGAGGGCGTACAAGGCTGCCGCCATCTCGGTCCGAGCTTTGAATGTCTCCTCCATGCTCTCGGCGTACCAAGCCGACCTCTGTGAGGACATGAATACGAAGCCGGACCCGGAGGTGCGGGAGGAAATCACCGTACTGACCGACATCTGCCTGCGTGTGCAGCGCTGCGCGGTCCATGCTACGGCTAAAGCTATGGGCATGATGGTGCTTCAAGAACGTGCACGATGGCTGAACCTCACCAACCTCTCTGCGAGAGAGAAGGAGGACATTTTGGACATGCCAATCGTGCCTGAAGGCATTTTTGGCTCTGCCCTGGCATCAATGCAGCAACGGTGTGCGGCTAAAAAGAAAGAGGATGAAGCCCTTCATCTCTGCCTTCCCCGTAAACCCTCACCGGCGCTGCCTGCTCGGCCGAACCTGCCTCTGGCAGCTGCCCGAGCCCAGCCTCAGTTCCGGATCCCAAAGCGACCGAAGCCTCAAGCTGTCCAACCAGCTCCTTCGGGCTCAGAGCCTCGACCAGTTTGGCCTCAGGGATCTGGCAACCAAGCTGCTCCGCCACCGGGACAATCCACCAGACACGGCGGTCAGCAGGTGAGGAGGAAGAAGTGGGCAGCCTGTCGGAGTTCTTCCCTCCCGACGCTGCAGCTGGCGGTTCCCCGTTCGCCAGCTCCTCCTGTTCGATGTTGCCATGGTGCTTTCTCCCCCCCCCTCACGGAACCCCTCCGGCAGAGTTCCCGAGCGGTCCAGGGTGGGGCCAGGACGTGCAGCCGGCGGTGCCGGCTCAAAACACACGTCACAAGCACTCACATTGTTTTTCACAAACATGTCACGCTCAAGGAGCATTAAAAGGTTCGCTGTCGCATCCAGACAAGATGTCAAGGGCGCAGCAAAAATCAATATAAATGTCACCCATGAGCGGTTCCAGGCGGGGGCGGCGCCACGGGTCGTCCCCGTAAGCCTGGGCCGTCAAAGCACAAAGCCCCCGCGCATGCGCAGTGGCTGCCACGAGCACCGCTGCCCCACAACCTCTGGAGGGAGCTGGTGCTCCGTGTGTCACGACTGTGTCACCGCTCTCCACTCACATGGAGGAATGGACAGCGGTTTCTGCTTCACGTTGGGTGCTGAGAACAATTTCGAGGGGTTACAGGCTCCAATTCGCTTCTGTTCCTCCTCGATTCTCCGGCGTAGTGTTCTCCCACGCCCAGGGGTCGTCAGCTCACATCCTTCAGGGAGAAATCTCCTCCCTGCTGGAGAAGGGAGCGATATGCATTGTGCCTCCCGATCGGTCTCAGAGCGGTTTCTACTCCAGGTACTTCCTGGTCCCGAAGCGGGGAGGGACCGGGATTCGCCCGATCCTGGATCTGAGGGCCCTGAACCGATGCCTCAGAAAGTACAGATTCAAAATGCTCACGCTCTCATCCCTTTTGCGTCTGATTCACCAGAGCAACTGGTTCACCTCAATCGACCTGAGGGACGCATACTTTCATGTTCCCGTGTACCCTCCACACAGGACATTTCTGAGGTTTGCCTTTCAGGGAGTGTGTTACGAATACACCGTGCTCCCATTCGGCCTCTCGCTGAGCCCGAGGGTGTTTGTCAGGTGTACGGAGGCGGCGATCGCCCCTCTGAGAGGGAGGGGCATTCGGCTGGCCACGTATTTAGACGACTGGCTCCTGCTGGCACGGTCCAGAGAGGAGACAGCGTCAAACACGCTGGTTGTGATCCCTCACTTGTGTGGTCTGGGTTTCAGAATAAACTGGCAGAAAAGCGCTTTACTCCCCTCCCAGAAAATAACCTTTCTAGGTCTGAATCTGGACTCAGGGGCGTTCACGGCCCGTCTCTCGGCACCGCGCGTGAACGCGCTCTCGTTCTGCCTGGCGCGCTTCCGCCTACACAGTTCGGTGCGGTTTGCGTTATGCCTCAGGCTTTTGGGTCTCATGGCGTCGGCTATTTCAGTGGTACCACTCGGCCGTCTACACATGAGAGATTCTCAACGCTGGGTGGCTTCTCTGGGTCTCTCTCCAGTACGCCACAGAGCGCGCAGGGTGACGGTCTCTGCAGCGTGCGTCGCGGCGCTCCGCTGTTGGCGTCACCCCTCCCTCTTGGCACAGGGGGTGCCTTTGGGGTTGGTTCTCGTGAGGAAAGTGGTCACGACAGATGCGAGCCTGTCAGGTTGGGGGGGGGGCTCCTGGAGGGTCGCTCTGTCAGGGGTGTGTGGAGCAGAGAGCTCTGGGGGACACACATAAATTATCTGGAACTCCTCACGGTCTTTCTAGCCCTGAGGCGCTTCCTGCCTTTTCTCTCCGGCCATCATGTCCTAGTGAGAACAGACAACACCTTGACTGTGGCTTATATAAACCACCAGGGGGGGGCTGCGCTCCATGCGGTTACAGACGCTGGCACGCAGACTGATCCTATGGTGCAGCAGGCATCTCCTCTCAATCAGAGCCACCCATGTCCCGGGTGTTCTGAATCGGGGGGCGTATCTGTTGTCCAGAGGGACACCCCTGTACGGGGATTGGAGCCTGCATCCAGCAGTGTTGGAACAGATTTGGATCCGGTTCGGCACAGCCGTAGTGGATCTTTTTGCCTCCAAGGAGAATGCTCACTGTCCTCTGCGCGACCGAGACGCTCCACTCGGCGTGGACGCGCTGGCGCACGACTGGCCACGGGGACTGCTTTACGTTTTTCCCCCAGTGGCCCTGATACTACCCACCTTGCTGAGGGTACGAACCCAGCTCCACACTCTCATTCTGGTGGCCCCATACTGGCCAGCTATGCATTGGGTGGCGGACATTTTCCAGCTCCTGGAGGGCCAACCTTGGAAACTTCCGCTTCGCAGGGACCTGGTGTCCCAAGCGGGAGGCTCGATCTTCCACCTTCATCCAGAACGGCTGGCCCTGTGGGCCTGGCCCCTGAGGGGTGCGGGCTAGTGTCAGCAGAGCTGCCCCAGGCAGTCATTCGAACCATTCAGAATGCTAGGGCCCCCTCCACTAGGTCCCTATATGACTGTAAATGGAGGGTGTTTGAAGCCTGGTGTCAGGGCAGGGAGGTCTCACCCTTCCAATGCCCGGTGAACGTCATTCTGTCTTTCCTGCAAGACTTGTTGGATGGGAAGAAGGCTTTCTCCACCATTAAAGTGTACCTGGCAGCCATTTCCTCCCGACACTTGGGTTTTGGGAAGAAACTGGCAGGTCAACACCCCCTGGTGTGTAGCTTCATGAGGGGCGCGTGCAGGCTTCTCCCTGTGTCTCGACCCCTGGTGCCCTCATGGGATCTGTCCTTGGTGCTGTCGGCCCTCTCCGGGCCTCCATTTGAACCTATGGACGGCCTGGACCTTAAGATCCTGTCTCTTAAGGTGGTGCTACTCCTGGCTTTGGTATCTGCAAAGCGAGTTAGTGACTTACAGGCTCTCTCTGTGCACCCATCCTGCACCCAGTTTGCACCCGGAGACATGAAGGTGTCCCTGAAGCCCAACCCTGCCTTTGTGCCTAAGGTGGTGGGCTCCTTTTCTCCTATTATCCTCACAGCTTTCTACCCGCCACCCTTCTCCTCTCCTGAGGAGGAGCGGTGGCACAAGCTGTGTCCGATTCGCGCGCTCAAGGAGTATGTGAATCGGACGGAGAACCTTCGCAGGGGGGACCAGCTTTTTGTGTCATGGGGTGGGCCTCGTAAGGGGAAACCCGTCACAAAGCAGAGGCTTTCCCACTGGATTGTGGAGGCTATTTCTATGGCTTACTCCTGTCAGGGCATTCAGGCTCCTGTTGGGCTCAGGGCCCATTCTACTAGGGGCCTGTCTGCTTCTTGGGCCCTTTTTCGGGGGCTGTCAATCCAGGAGATTTGTGCTGCAGCAAGTTGGGCTTCTCCACTTGCATTTGCACGCTTCTATAAGCTTGATGTTTCGGTCCCTGCAATGACTCACACGATTCTGAGTGTGGGGTCTTTGGCGGGCCAAGACGTATCCCTGTAGGTTGGTGATCGCTGGATAAGCTGTCTGGCAATACGGGAGTCTCCATATCCCATAGTGAGACATCGAAACGAATGTTAAGAAAGAGAACTTTAGGTTACTGTCGTAACCCCGGTTCTCTGAGTAACATGAGTGAGATGTCTCACCAGACAACCCTTCTTGCTGGGCGAAGCGAGAAGAGGTGTTTATCTTGAATAGTGTGTACGTTGGGACGCTTGCTACTTATAGTAGCAGGGGGACGCGTACGTCACGGTCACTGGCCAATCAGGATTGGCGTATTGAGATAAGTGCTTCTGAGGAATCCGCGGAGGGGCGTATCCCATAGTGAGACATCTCACTCATGTTACTCAGAGAACCGGGGTTACGACAGTAACCTAAAGTTTTTTAAGCAGCCACAGGAGATGAATGGTAACAACCATTGAGTTGACCATAAACTACTCCAAGCTCTGATTTGTTATATATTCAAATGAGAGTGTTTCATCAGTAGATGCATGCAGATCAGGCTGGACTGCGCTCTAATCATCTTCAGATGACAACTGCACACTCACAGCTCTAACTTGGTGGAAAGCCAGATTAGAACGGTGTCTTTAATTATAGGAGATGTACAGTAGAGCAGAAGAATCAATGTGCAGGTTCACAAATGCTGACGAGGCCAGAACTGTCAGAGACTTCATTTGGATAAGGCAAGAAGAACAAGGAAGGGTTGCACTCTGCAGCAGTTGCTGCTTGACTCCTTCCTTCATTTAAAACCTTCAAAATAATTCATTGGGGTGTGCATTATGGCCATCGTTGAAGCTCCACTTTAAAATGTGTGCAGATTTTTTTATTCGCAGAGATTCAAAATCAAATCTGACCACGTGGTTGACATAATTGTAAATGCTTAAAGACCAAGTTCACTTGTTTTCTCAACACATCTGAAGTGGTCTCTATTATGAATGCCTAGTGAGTCAATCCCTGTAGGGAAAAAAGCTCTGGTCTAGAAGACTACCAGATCAGAGGAGAGCTTCAGACAGCAGGATTTGGAGTCTTATTTCCTGTTATTCTGACATCTCACCTCTGATTGGCTAGCAGCAAACCGACTCTACCACTGATTCTGTTTGCTCTGCAACATTAGTGTTTTATCTCCATGAATAATGCAAGCCTGAAGACGTTTGGCCATGTTGTGGAGTTGCTAATGCTAACAGTTAGCTTCTACTAGTTGTGACGTGCGCTGCTGTTTTCTGAATGCTAAATCGACAACAGCCTTCCCCGTCGCCAGCCAAGGTGGGTGAGTCCATGAATGCTAATTTGATAATATGATGTGCAATTCTCATGCTTTCCTAATCTGAGAAAAAGGTAGCCTGGCAAGCCATCCTATATATGTGAATATGTGGTTTGGCCGTGACCCGTAAGGAACTCCCAGTTGTGGTTGTCTTTCAAACTCCTGTCAACGGAGCAGAAGACACAGATACATCCTTTTCTTCAATTCATGACTTAAGTACCTCTAACCGCTCTTGACTCAAAGAAAAGCCCAAGTCTAAATAACCCAAAGTTGATACCAAAGCTGTTTTTAAATGAGCCGTCGCCATCTTGCTTTGCTCCGTCAAATCATTCCACCTGCCAGACCGGTAGAGTGCTGTGATGGGTATAACACAATACCACTCAGGCCAATGGTAGGCCTGTTAAGACTCCTATGGGTTGTTGCTAGACCGACATACTTTGGCAAATGAAGGTCTAAATTTCCAGGCTAAGAAATGGGTGTAGGAGACTATTTTCAGGTTCAGGGTGACCGATCGTATTTCAAAAATAACAAGTAAATGTTCTCTCAGTGAACTTAGCGACTGTGGCACAGGAGTTAAGTGCTCGCCCCGTAATCTGAAGGTTGCAGGTTCGAGCCCCGCTCAGTCTGTCGCTGTCGTTGTGTCCTTGGGCAAGACACTTAACCCACGTTGCCTGCTGGTGGTGGTCGGAGGGACCGGTGGCGCCAGTGCTCGGCAGCCTCGCCTCGGTCAGTGCGCCTCAGGGCAGCTGTGGCTACATTGTAGCTCATCCCCACCAGTGTGTGAATGTGTGTGTGAATGGGTGAATGACTGATTGTGTTGTAAAGCACCTTGGGGGGTTCCAGGACTCTAGAAGGCGCTATATCAAATACAGGCCATTTTTTACCATTTTACCATAATAGAAAAAGATTCAACACACAGACTTCAGGACTAGTGGAAAATATTTCTGCTAACATTTCCACTCGTTTAATGAAAATGCTTTTTCAACAGCTGAATCATTATCAAAATCATAACGGCCCGTAAAACAGAACTTTATCGCATTTCTGAATGTTTTCAGGGTGTTCTGTCCTTGATTTATAAACCGAGTTGAAAGCATTTATAGAACTTGTAACTTGTTTTCCCAAAACTGGTGAGTACATCAGTTTTTTTATTTGGCTCTTTTGTCATATCAGTTAGTGGATGAAATAATTATTCAATTATTCGTATGACGTCATCTTCAAATAGACCATTTGATGTTTGAGTTGGATATGAATCTGGACGTCGACATCAAATGAGTTGGATGTTTGTGTATTTCAGCTCGCTTTTATTTGTTTTCCTCTCTCTGTGGTTTTGCGTGCATATTTAACTCCTGTCTGCTTTCTATTGATGTCGTACTCAGAACTGCGCGCCCTGCTGAGCGCTCGTCATCCTTTCTGCCTGCAGAAACATTTTTACTCCAATTTAGCTCTGGCTTTTGAAGTCCACTGTTGATTGCATGTGATTTGTGAATGACCCTATTCAGGTCCTGCCTTTTGCTCGTGGGACTCTATTGTTGTGCCCCCCCCCCCCCCCCCCCCCCTCTCGCTGCCTCTCTTTATGTTGATGTGATGTATCGGAGATAACCGTGAACTGTGAGACCCTCTTGGCCACTCATCTGTCTGCCTGGTCTTTGCTGTTAGGCCCAGAGACGGCCGTCCTGATTGGCAGTCATTACCAAGCCCCAGTGGGAGGACATGGCTCATTGGAAAGCAGATTTCTGGGAGGATTGAAGATGAGGAATTAAGCAGTTTGTGTCTGTTTTTGTTTGTGCCTGAGTGGATTTTATTGATGAGACTAAGGTGCACTTAAAACGAGGTGTCGCTTTAGTGTGATTCATGGATACACACAGTCTGATTAAAGGAATGAGACAATCTCCTGAGTATGGCACCGTGTTGTTTACACACACACACACACACACACACACACACACACACACACACACACATATATATATATATATATATATATATATATATATATATACATACATGTACAGGCGGATTGATTCAGCGTCTGCAGTGATGCGGACGCTGAGCCGATCTGTCGTGGGGAAGAGGGAGCTGAGCCAGAAATCCAGGCTCTCGATTTACCGGTCGATCTACGTCCCAGTCCTCACCTATGGTCATGAGCTTTGGGTGATGACCGAAAGAACGAGATCGCGGATACAAGCGGCCGAAATGAGTTTCCTCCGTAGGGTGGCCGGGCTCAGCCTTAGAGATAGGGCGAGGAGCTCGGACATTCGGGAGGGACTCGGAGTAGAACCGCTGCTCCTCCGGATCGAAAGGAGTCAGTTGAGGTGGTTTGGGGATCTGGTCAGGATGCCTGCTGGACGCCTCCCCGGGGAGGTGTTTCGGGCATGTCCTGCCGGCAGGAGGCCCCTGGGTCGACCCAGGACACGTTGGAGAGGTTACATCTCCAATCTGGTCCGGGAATGCCTTGGGGTCCTGCCGGAGGAGCTGGTGGAGGTGGCCGAGGAGAGGACGGCCTGGAGCTCCCTAGTTGGGATGCTGCCCCCGCGACCCGGACCCGGATAAGCGGAGGAAGACGATGATGACATATATGTATGTATGTATAGACATATACATATATATATATATATATATATATATATATATACAGTATATATATCTGTAAATCAATGAATGACTCTACTTATTTGTGTGTGTGTGTGTGTGTGTGTGAGGCCTGAGTGTGCCTCTCATCATGCCTTTTTAAGTAGCAGGGCACTTTAAATGGAAATGTACTTGACATTTAGGAGGAGATGTAATCAGCGCCCATTAGAAGGCAGCTGATTTCCTCTCCAGAGCTCACTCACGCCATCTCTCTCTCACTGCTTCCCTCCCCTTCCCATCTCTCCACGGCATGTCATTTCTCTTATTTTTTTTTATTTTTTCCACACTTTTGATTTATTTCAGTTTCTTCCACATTCTGCTGCCTGGTCCTTCTCTCTCACTCACAATCTAATTTACCTGTACACATTCCTTCCACTCCTCGCCTTCTCCTCGTCCTCCTACTCTGTCTTTGCCCATCAGGGCCTTGTAGTTCAAGAATAGATGTCTGATTTAATTAAAACATTTAGCTACTTTTGTTTCTTGTCATTATCAGAGGCTCATTCTCAGGAAGATAGCTAATACTATACCATGACAAATCATGCAAAATGGTGAATCACAAGAGAGTTTTGCTCGTAGGAGTGAGACTGAGACAGAAATGCAGCAAACAAATGTGGAGGATTATGAAAACTGCTGCTCTTGTAATGGAGTCTTTTAAAAATAGTTCACACGTTTCAGTTTAAGGTACGGTTCTATAAGCATTGTTTGTTGGCTTGCATTTTAGAAAAGCTTCAAGAGTATAAGTAGCATGGTTGAAGTACAGGCAGCTTTTGGATGATGGTTTTCTGGGGTAAATGTTGTAAAAGTATATATTTTTTAAATAAAACATACTTGGTATATATGCTGTGTTTGTGTGTACGGGTGGTGTGTGTGTGTGTGTGTGTGTTTTTGTGTGTGTGTGTGTGTGTGTGTGTGTGTGTGTGTGTGTCTGCTCTGTGTTCTCAATCCCCAGTGAGTCATGGCAGATGGCTGCTTAGAGTTTTCCTCTCCACTCTCGCTGCATGCTTGCTTACTATGACGATTGCTGTGAAGACCCTGACACTAGTCAGTGACCTGATGCAACCTGCTGGGTTCCTTATGTAGGAATCATTTAACTGATTGGCTTAATGAACTGACCTGTATGGGAATGTTTTGAGAATGTTACTGTGGCCGTGCGCAGGACGCAGCTGCCTGGAGTGCATCATCGATCAGTGCTTTGCTTCCCATAGGTAGGAACTATATATCTTTCAGGCTCCCCATTGGAGTGTAAGTTGAAGACTTTTCGTGAAGCCTGCCATGCTTTCAGGTGAGCTTGACTTCGTTCGAACCCTGCATGCTGGGTCGTCGTCCACCCCCCCCACCCCCCACCCCCCCGGCAATGAATCTGCATATTTCCATTCGAACATATTTGCCAAATGATTTGTGCAATTATCAGATGTTGCTTTTACCTCCACAAAAGGCAAATTCTAGATTTTTTATGTTACAGAAAACAGGGATGGCTTGCCATCAAATTTAAAGTCGTTACTCATTGTTTAGGCTTTCATTTTTGAACACAGGCCGTCGTAATGACAGCTGTACGGCCGCTGGCTAATACTATGCCCACTGCCCTGTGTGGCCAGAATATGGCATTTGCAACTTCTGATTGCCGGTCTGGTCTGTTGGGACTTAGAATAATAATTAGCTGACATCCCTGGTGCTGCAGTCTGGTTTTAGCACTTCTGCTGCATGTTTTAGTTCAAGAACACAGCAGATTTGTTTAATTTGGTGATGAATCACACCTGTAAACAGTGGCAGCGTCAGGCGGGTGCTATAGCTACCCCTGGATTAGTCATTTCACCCCCATAGCACCCCCAAGTAAATATTAGATTTTTTTTAAAAATAATTTAAATTTAATTTAACATGTGGATGTGATAATATTTAACATACAAAACAAAAATAATCAGTAAATTATCATATAGATAGTAAAAACTTAAACCAAAACAGGAAATTGATGTTAACCTTTGATCTTTTTCCACCTGAGAACGAGTGAAAGGTAGAGGTAGTGGTTAAATGGATCGGTTTTTGTTGCCCAAATTTCCACAGGTTCATTCAGAAACAAATGAATCTTTGGAAGTGATCTCAGACCCACAAAAACCTACGGATCTGGATGAAGAGAGTCAACCCTCAACCGCGGCAGCAGTCGAGGGTTTTGTTGCTGGAAATGCTAACACTAACGTTAGCTAACCTTGCAACACTATAGATGGTTTTCTGTGAGGCTGTATGTGTTTATGATTTCATGGAAAAGTCAGCGATTGTTCATATGTTTATGATATATATTAATGATTGTTTCAGGAGTTGTTGAGGTTTTGTGCATGCATGTGTGTCTGCTAGTGTTGAAGGTGTTTTAGAGAACAATGGGTACACATGACCACTTCCTTCATAGCACCCTCAATAAAAAGACTAGCTCCTTCATAGCACCTGCAGAAAAAAATGTCTGGAACCGCCACTGCCTGTAGACACCAATAAAGACTGGGGAGACATTTGAGTTGTTTTATTAAGTTGTTAAAAAGACAAATGCACAGAGATGAGATGAGAGTTTTACTTTTGTTTTTATTAAACAGACACTAGGGGGTGCTAAAAGCAAGCCCAAACTGCTTAGTCTCCCTTTAAAGTGGTGTAGACAAAGTACAGTTTGACAAAGTATACAAAATTTTACTTTCAACACTATTTTCTCACACCAAACTGCATTTTTATGCTGTGAATAAGAATAATTGTCATTAATCCCTTCAGTAATTTTTGATACATTGGGCAATTGTCAATAGAAATGGTGAAAAATGGTTCTTTAATCCTAAATTGTGTGTCTAATTGCACTGATTGGATTGTTTAGTGATCCAAGACCAGAAGATATTAGGCTGGTGTCAGAATGTTCTGATTGGGAAGAAATATGAGGAGAGAAACTAGCTTTAAAGGTTATAGAAAACGATTTCAGTGATGGCTAACAAACATGACACTATAAATATTCTTGTTCATTAAATCGGTAATTAAGAAGGAAATAATAATTTCCTAATAAGAAAAAAAAAATGTATATCAGAAAATCAATTGACCATAAAATCAAAACGTGAATCAGGATCAAGGTGAATTCTGCTCATTGCTGATCGACCCTTCGGACCCGTTCTGCTCCGACTGCTTGTCCGTCACCCCCACAGCGGGTACGTTTCACTCTGTGTCAGACAGGTTTTATTAGATCTGGTGCTGATCAGCGCCACTGTTGGACTGACAGCTTGGCTTGGAGGTTCATGGCTTGACACCTGTATGCATGCAGCTTGTGTTTTGCATTTGTTCTTTTGTTTAGTGCAGCTGTGACATTGTGCAGCGACAGCTCAGGCTCAACATCACTTCACTTGTATCCCGATCACTGATTCGATTCGCCTGCATGACTTTCAGACAATGCTCATCTTAATTTAATCACAAATGTAGTCAGTTTCCCACTGCATTGAAAAGAAACAAGTGCATATAAATGAGGATGAACGTTAGATGCAGGATAAACATTAATTTTTCACTGGTTGTATTTAGAGGCGGTCACTGTTGTTTTTCTATTTGCCGTCCTTTTCAATCATTAATCCTGACATTTATAAAGAATGGGCCCCTGATTGTATTTGTAGCTCTTCTGTTATCTCAGAAACATCCCCTTCCATTTTCAAGCAAAGATGAGCTGTGTAAAACTGGTCATTCAACCCCTGATCACCTTCTCTGTTGGTAGAGTGTCTGCCCTGGGACTGGGAGATTGGGGTTCAAATCCTGGTTGGGTCCTACCAAAGACTTTAAAAATGCTGCTCAGCTTGAATGGGTTGGATTGGTGGGCTAAACCACCATAATAGTTCCTGAGCCACTCTCCACTGGGATGGGCCAAATGCTGAGAGGTAGTTTCACCAGTGTGTGAAGATGTCTTTAGGACTTTATATCATTTATTAAAGGTGTGAAAAACCACATTTTAATGATTATTTCTGATTATTGGTCGCAGGCTGTACATGAAAATAGTCCCTCACACCTATCTTCTGCATCAGCGTCTGATAGAAAGTAGATGGTGAAAATCTAGGATTAGAAAAGCCTGACAGATCTACATCACATTGTCACGTAACATTCGTGGACTCATCCATCTTGACTCACGACGGAAAAGGCTGTTGTTGGTTTAGCTTCCAAGCCAGAGCAGAGCACGTCTCGACCAGTAGAAGCTAACTGTTAGCATTAGCAACTCCACCACACAGCAAAACTCCTTTAAGCTTGAGTTATTTATGAAGATAAAACATCAAAGTTGCAGAGCAAACTGAGTTAGTGGTAGAGTCACTTTGCTATTAGCCAATCAGAGGTGAGATGTCCAAATATCAAGAAATAAGAGTCCAAATCCTGTTGTCTGAAGCTACTTTCCCCTCTAGCTGATTTCTCCTTGCTGATACAGGTGCTTCAGGGCTTTAGTTCACCCTCAAAGCATTCATTTCTACTAGAGACCACTGCAAATGCATTGACCAAACCAGTGTTCTACACCTTTAAAGGAAAGCAGCTGTAGAAACAATAGAACTGAGCAGAACTCATGGTTCCTGATTTATAGATTGCTTCAGACAGCAGTGCTAGTTAACCACTGTCAATCCTGTAGTCATGCCACCTAAAGAAAAAAAAATGCTGAAAAGCAGAAAAAATGTGCATGCTTATCACAAGCGCGTGCCCGGTGCACCACCAATGCAGCACATAAATCATTTTCACGGCCAGTAGATCACTACAAAATGCTCATTTCAAAAGTATCTCACAAGGTAACAACGGGTGATCATCCATGATTTAAAGTAAATTAGCCCCAGACCATCACACTACCATCATTCACACGTACGTATGTATGCATTTATGTATGTATGCATGTATGTATGTATGTATGTATGTATGCAGGTATGTATGTATGTACGTATGTATGTATGTATGTACGTATGTATGTACGTACGTATGTACGTACGTACAGTGGGGCAAAAAAGTATTTAGTCAGCCAACGATTGTGCAAGTTCTCCCACTTAAAATGATGACAGAGGTCAGTAATTTACATCATAGGTACACTTCAACTGTGAGAGACAGAATGTGAAAAAAAAATCCACAAATTCACATGGCAGGATTTTTAAAGAATTTATCTGTAAATCAGGGTGGAAAATAAGTATTTGGTCACTTCAAACAAGGAAAATCTCTGGCTCTCACAGACCTGTAACGTCTTCTTTAAGAAGCTTTTCTGTCCTCCACTCGTTACCTGTATTAATGGCACCTGTTTGAACACATTATCTGTATAAAAGACACCTGTCCACAGCCTCAAACATTCAGACTCCAAACTCCACTATGGCCAAGACCAAAGAGCTTTCGAAGGACACCAGGAAAAGAATTGTAGACCTGCACCAGACTGGGAAGAGTGAATCTACAATAGGCAAGCAGCTTGGTGTGAAAAAATCAACTGTGGGAGCAATTATCAGAAAATGGAAGACATACAAGACCACTGATAATCTCCCTCGATCTGGGGCTCCACGCAAGATCTCATCCCGTGGGGTCAAAATGATCATGAGAACGGTGAGCAAGAATCCCAGAACCACACGGGGGGACCTGGTGAATGACCTGCAGAGAGCTGGGACCACAGTAACAAAGGTCACCATCAGTAACACACTACAACGGCAGGGAATCAAATCCTGCAGTGCCAGACGTGTTCCGCTGCTGAAGCCAGAGCATGTCCAGGCCCGTCTGAAGTTTGCCAGAGAGCATATGGATGATACAGCAGAGGATTGGGAGAATGCCATGTGGTCAGATGAAACCAAAGTAGAACTTTTTGGTATAAACTCAACTCGTCATGTTTGGAGGAGGAAGAATACTGAGTTGCATCCCAAGAACACCATACCTACTGTGAAGCATGGGGGTGGGAACATCATGCTTTGGGGCTGTTTTTCTGCTAAGGGGACAGGACGACTGGTCCGTGTTAAGGAAAGAATGAATGGGGCCATGTATTCTGAGCCAAAACCTCCTTCCATCAGTGAGAGCTTTGAAGATGAAACGTGGCTGGGTCTTCCAACACGAGAAAGATCCCAAACACACCGCCCGGGCAACAAAGGAGTGGCTCCGTAAGAAGAATTTGAAAGTCCTGGAGTGGCCTAGCCAGTCTCCAGACCTCAACCCCATAGAAAATCTGTGGAGGGAGTTGAAAGTCCGTGTTGCTCGGCGATAGCCCCAAAACATCACTGCTCTCGAGAAGATCTGCATGGAGGAATGGGCCAAAATACCAGCTACTGTGTGTGCAAACCTGGTAAAGACCTGTAGT